AGACTCAGGAAAAAAAAATTGACATATGTTCTCCCTCATATGTGGATCCTAGAACCAAACCCTGATAAGTGAGTATGCAACCAGACATAACTACAGGAACCAGGATAATGGAAAGGAAACAGGGAGGTAAAGGAAAAGAAAGAACCTGAAAAAGAACAGTAGGAAACAGGCCTTAATAAGGGAGATATGGATAAAAATTGGGTTACTTTAAGGGGGGGGAAGGGTACACAAGGAATCTAGGGGATAAAGGGAAAGAAGGAGCTCAAGAGAGGTAGGACTGTAGGAGAAGGGTATTATTAAGGGAGAAAGGGGAAATGGGGGCACCTTAAGTGGGAAAACCATGATGGAAGGGTGAGACAATGCAAGAGATAAATAAAGCCTAGGTAGTTTTGAAAACCAGAGGGAACCATATTACTCCTAAACCCTACTGACAAATTATACATAGCAGATCAAGAAATATATGTCTAGGCAAGGTTTATCTGAGAACAAGTGGTCTTCACCCAAGATTTTTCTACATGTCACACAGTAATTAAAAGCACCAGACTGGTGGAACTAACCTTCTTGGATGTTTAACTGACATACTTTGAGGCCTATACTAATTTGGTCAGAGGGACATAAAGGGCAGTTTTTGCTCCTTGCCCTCCTTGGTCGACTAGTTCCAGGGGACTATAAGCATCTCTCAAAATGCCCTGTAATTGTGGTGGGTCACCTGTCCTCTTGATCAAGGAGGCCGAGGACACCCCACGAGATGGACTTGAACCAGTGTCCAGTCTACAAAGAGGAGGGTCAACACAGAGGAAATATTTCCTCCATGTTTCCAAGTGAAGCCAGCCATGGTCAAGCAGGACCTTTGACTTATCTTCATGTAGGCAGAACTGGGAAAAGAAAGGAGCTAGGGGCTCCTCCCAAGCCCATGTGACCCCTGAGAAACAGATCCTCAAACGGCCTTAAGAATAAAAATAAATTGGTTTATCTGGGCCAACTGTATGGCCTTAAACACCCAAAAGGAAAGTATAACCAAAGATTAAAGGGGCCAATATAATTTTTTAGGAGTCCATATGTATAGCTAAAGGCTATATAACAAGCAACAATGTCAGATAGGAGATACCTTCTTTTGAGTTGTTGGTCAGGGTGGCCCAAGGGACTCCCAGATAGTAACCCAGCATAGAACTGGGAAAATGAACAGCAGACCCCAATCTTATCTAAAGGAATATTGACAACTCATTGCTGCTAGATGAGGAACAGCTGACCTTCCTAAAACAAAGACCTCTAGATAGGCTGACTAGATTCACTGGATGGACAAGTAGTGGGGAGTGGTTGGGGGTGCTGACAACACAGCGGACAGTAGCAGGGATATGAGAGTATAAGGGCTCTCTAGTGGGGGGAGGGAGGCTATGGGATGGTGCCACCTGGGAAGTGGTGTATAGATGAATAAGATGGTTTGAGATGTTCTGTGTGATATACACACACACACACAAAAAAAAAAATCAACAAATTAAAAAAAATGAATATTTGAGGAGGAAGCATGGAAATTTCCATCATGTTAATTAGTAGAGGTGATAAACATTACCATTGAAATCTACCCAATGACTTCATAGACATACACAGGTACCAAGGATCTGAGTGCAACCGATTATGACAGTAATAATCATCATATACATACAGATTAGGGACACATAAGCCAACATCACAGTGTTATTAGCAAAAACAATGAATCTGTCTATTTTTAAATGAAATGGAGACCTTTTTTAAAGGTTAAAAACTCATTTAATTTTATGTCTTATACTGAGTTCAATATTGTATAACTATTAGTTCAACAGTGAACCTAAAAATTTTATAGCCACTTTTGAAAGAGATGTATCTTTGCTCTGGAAACTTATTGAGTATGTTAAAGCTGTAATGAAATGCTTCTTCTAAAAAATAAAAACATATATATATATATAATAAAAAAAGAAATGAAATAAAAAAACATAAGAAAAAGAGAAATGTAACTGTTGTTTCTTCACAGACAACATTGTTGTCTACACAGCAAGCCCAAAAGAATTTAAGAAACAAAACAAAAACCAGAATTATTAAGTATCAAACAAGATTATAATGTTCAAAAAATAATATAAAGTTTCATTGCAATTCTACCAATCCTTAACTTAAAACACAGAGATATTAGGAAGAAAAATAATAAAATACATAAGCTCTGGTGAAAGGAGTCATGGAATACACAAATAAATGGAGCCTGCTTATGGATGGGAGGTTCATCGTTATTATCATATCAGTTGTCTCCTGGGTTCACTGTTACTATCATATCAGTTCTCTCCTGGTTGACCTATAAACTCAATAAAATTCATTTCAAAATAAAAAAAAAACCAAACAAGTAGACATTATGGTTCATGTCTGTAATCCCAGCCCTAGGGAGGTAGAGACAGGAACATAAAGAATTCAAGACTAGTTCTGGCAGTATAGGGCCAGTTTGAGGTCAGACAGAACTACATGAAGACCTGTTTCAAAACAAACAAACAAACAAACAAAAAAACAAACATTCCTCATAATTCTTCCCAAATGGGCTCTGCAGCCCAACTTCTATTACATTCACTGGCACAAAAGAATATCACAACTTGTCCAGCTAAAAAGATTATAATCCCTGTGGCACATTACACTAATCTCCTCTGTGCCAGAATACACTAATGGGAGGAAGTATAGCTCTGGATCAGCTTAAATCCCAGAATTGCCAATCTTTTTATAACATCCTGGATTACTCTCTGAGCCTATTAAACTCATCTATAAAATGAGCTTAATAATTCTTATGTCATAGGTCTGTGAGCATTACAGGATTGTGAGGTTATTCATATAGGACATTGGGGAAACAACAGTGCCTTTAATATCCAGCCATAATTAAAGGTACCTAGCACAGGAATTTTTGTAAAGTGTTTTACATAGAGTTGGGAGTGGTGGTGCAAGCCTTTAATCCCAGCATTCCAGAGGCAGAGGCTGATGGATCTCTGTGAGTTCCACACCTGCCAGGTCTACATAGGCAGCTCTAGGCCCACAAGGACTACACAGCAGAACCCTGTGTCAAAAAATCAAACATAGGACTTGGAGAGATAGCTTAGTGGTTAAGAGCACTGGCTGCTCTTGCAGAGGACCCAGGTTTGGTTCCTAGCACCCACATGGCAGCTAACTAACTGTCCCTAACTCCCTCCAGTACCAGGGAATTTGATGCTCTCCTTTGGCTATCATGGTCACTATATGACACAGGTGCACTTACATACATGCAAGTAAAACACTCATACACATAAAATGAAAATAAATAAATAAAAATAAAAACCTAAACATAATAGTCTTACATATTCAGTCATGATGGTTTATGCTTATAATCCCAATACTTTTAAAGACTAAGGCAGAAGGATCACAAGTTTGAGGCCAGCTTGGGATACACAATGCAACCCTGTCTCAAAATGAATGAATGAATGAATGAATGAATGAATGAAGTGTCTCACATGGGTCTCTACTCTTAATTCCACCTCTTAGTCATGTCTAGATTACTTTAATAAACTCACAATAAACTGCTTTAAGTCCAGCCTCTTCAATCCATTGTTTATACTGTTGTAGGAAGATGATTATTCCTTTTTTAACTCCTCTTCTTCTTTGATATAGTATCTTGCTATGTAGCCCAGGCTGTCTTAGAACTTACAATGTACGTGAGGTTAACCTTAAACTAACAGCAATCATTCTGCCTCAGCCTCCCAAGTGCTGGGGTCATAGGCATACACAATTACACTCAACTAAAAATCTTCTTAAATGTATATTTTATCAAATCATAGTCATATTGATAAACTTCAGCAGCTTTGTTCCTATCGATTAAGGCTTGTTCAACTTTCAAGGCTGCTGAAAATTCACCCGTTCAATTCTATTTCAACTATCATATCCCATCACACAAGTTGTCAGTAAATGGTCACTCTATTGTCCTACCCACACACTAAGATCTTCCCACCAACAACCCTCTGCTCAGGTTGGTCCCTCCCTTACTGTCAGTGACAGTGTCCTTTCTTGATCTCTGATTGTATTTTAAAATCTGTACCAATCACAGTTTACTAAGACAACATACTAGTTTTCATTTTCATCTACTGTTTTAACTTAAATTCTTTTAACCCACTTTGAGTTTCTAGTTTATTATTACTAACTCCTCTGTCTACTATGGTGTGTTATTGTACAAACTAGTAGATAAAAACTTGCAGATTAAATGAACAGGGAAAAAAATGAAAGAACTACTATCAGATATTCTGATTAATATACTGAAGTATTTAAAAGAGTAAGATCTTGCACAATTTGTTATTACTTATGTTGTATAAATTTTAATTAGCCCAATTACAGTGGAAGTTTCTTGATAATAAAGAGAAATTTTTAAGTTTTTCTACATTCCCACAGAAACCTACCATATTAGTCTAGTTGAACATATGTTTAACATAATGTCCTTTTATAGTTTTGAAAAAAAACCTTAATATATTTTTGCTTTAGTAGAGAGTAATGATTTTAGACAAGGTAGCTATCTCTGACTCCTTCTTAGGAGCATGCTTCCCTCCTTCCTAATCTCTTTCTTCCTTTCAGTTAAGAAGTCTAGTGTAGGGGGTTGGAGAGATGGCTCAGTAGTTAAGAGCACTGGCTGCTCTTGCAGAGGACCTGGGTTTGGTTCCCAGCACCCACATGGTGGCTAACAACCTTCTGTAACTCCAGTTTCAGGGGATCCAACACCCTCTTCTTGCCTCTGAGGGCATTGAACAATATGGGTGCACTTACAGACATGTAGGCTATATACTCATACACATAAAATAAAAATAAATCACAAAAAATTAAGAACTATACTATAGTAAGCCACTATGATTAATAAGCCTATTTAGCAGTACTTAATAAACACAGACCAAATGTTTTTAAAACATGATTCTAATCTAAATCAGAGGTAAAATAAATGTTAACACATTTTATAGACAAAGTCTTCAGTTTATGCCTACCATAATCTGCTGGTGTGTAATTCAGCAGCTCAAATTTCCAGCGTTTATAGTCTGAATAATTCTGGTACATGTCAAATATTTCTCGGGTAAACTGCTGGCAGATATCACCTAAAATACATAAAATATTCAATATACACAAATTTTGAATAGAGCTGTCCTTAGGTAGAAGCCATTCAGGAAATGAGTAGCTATTTCTAAAACCAAATGTATTTAATGGGCTTTTCAAGGTAGAGTGATATCAAATCAAGGTCAAATTCAAGTTTTTAAATTCATTTACAATAAAATTATTTTCTGACCTCCAGTAGTTCTTCCAGATGTCACCTCTAAAATAACATCACTTTTGTCATATTTCTCCTTTGGCACTAGATTCTCAAAAAGCTGGAAAAAAAGAAAATGTCAGCACTCGTGTCTTTTCCTTGGT